TTTTTTTATTTTATAAAATTTCATGATAAATAATTTCGAAATTTTACACTATTATTACTGGATTTTTTTAAATATTTAAATTGATTAAATTAAAGTTTGATATTCAGAAAATTAAAAGAAGAGAAGAACAAACGTTTATTTTGTTGGCGTTTCAAGTAATTAAAATAATCAGAAAAGAGTTCCTTTTTTTTTTCTTAATGTTCTTTCCTTTCAATCGGATCTCTAATTAGAACAATGTCTCTTAATCTTTATTATCTTCTGTGTTATTTTTTTTTCCTCTGAAAATTAATTAACACAGAAAAAGAATTTTATATCAGTAACGCATTTTTCAGGAATTATTTTTTATTGTAAAATCTGAAATTATATGTTTGCAGCCATTATGGCATCCTTACACGCCTCAGTTCGGACACTATTTAAAAATTGCATTTAGTTACTCGGAAGTGTTATGGCCTTGGTCCGGGTATTTGGCGGTACATCTTTCGGCGGTGGAATCGGCCATTCACTGGGAAGGTATTGCTCAAGGTCATATATCGTTAACGGTAGAATCGCCACCTCAGGTAAGAAAAATTTTAAAAATAGTATTTTGACTATTGTTTTCTTAAAAAGTTGTGATTTTACTACATTCATAATATGTCTTTTTGTCCATAAATTTATTTTTAAAAATTAAACTCCAAGTATATTATTAAATTTGTGGTCCCTAAGCATCTAGAATGTTGAGGAAAATGAAGAAAAACACTAGGAATTTTTGTTAATATTTGAAAATCAGGAATTTGCCTTGTTGATTTTGTTTTCCAATGGCATGGCTGACCAAATGTAGGTGGCAAGAAGTAATGTGCCACTAGGCAACCTATGAATATATTAGCATATTGTGAATTAATAAGATAAATTACTTTCACGTTTAATGCCATAATTATAACTGGATAAACTGTAAACCAAAATTATGTATTCAAACTCGAGCTTACATTGAATAGTTTGTAAAGAAGACAAATGAATCTGAATGTTAGAAAGGCAGCCATAAATTATGGTGGCTTAAGTCCACTAAAAACGTTTGTTTTCTTTACAGACTATTCGATATATGCAGGGGTTCCAGTACATAATTTCGAATTTTAAATTATTTTTATTTAATAAAACTTTTAATTTTAATAATTCAAGAATATAGTGGATTTAAACATATTATTTAATAGCATCATTAAGATTTTTTTGTCTCATTTATCATTTTTATTTTGTAGGATGGCGAAGTGGAATCGCATCAATCATCAATAAAACTGCCCGTAAGGGTAAAAATTATACCCACTCCTCCAAGAAGGTATAATAATTTAACTACTTACAAATAATGAGTTTTTTAACCAATAATTAATGTGAAAAGTTATCAGTTTTGCCAAAAATCCAACAAGTTTTGTTCCTTCTCTCATTATTCTCGACAGTTTATATCTTGTATTAGAATATAAATACAAAAGGCATTAGATTGTTGAAAATGGTATGAAAATATATTATAAAACTTTTTAAATAATTAAAAAAACTATATTTTTAAGCTACATCATAAATAAAACATTTTGTAAACTGATAAAACCAGTTTACTTTGAAAATTTAATAAACACAAAGACTTGGGAAGTGAGACGATTATATGGATTATCTATCAAAATACAAACTGTTTTACAAATGCTTACTAGTCTGAAGTCCTGACGTGCATACAGAAAACTTATATCAGATCAAATTGGCTTAAAGGAACCAGATATAGCATATATACTTAATATTGTTCTTTATTATTCGTTTAATGTTCAGCTATGTGAGTAACGTTTAGTTTTAACTTCTGTATAAATGACGAACTCATTAGTAGAGCAATTAAACAAGAAAATATTGTATACACCAGAGACTTATCAGTAAAACAAAACAACCCTACGTTATGTTAATTGGCTTCTATAAATACGATTGGTGATAAATGGACAAAATATCAATTTAAGAAATTAATCTTGCTAATCGCACATCCTTCAGCTACATTATATCTGATTTTTCCTCTGATTTTAATGCACTTTTGGCTTGTTTATTTTAACAAAGACTTTATAGATATTTGCAGTGTTCTGTTTCAAGCATTATATTAGTATATTTTTATTAGTTATATAATATTTTAAAATTTATTTTCAATAAACATAATAAATTCTACAAAGTTATCAATTACACTAATAATTACTTTAAAACACTAATTTATTGTTTAATTATGATATAATATGTATTTATTTAAATGTGTAGTAATGTTTTGGGTTGTAGAAAAACGTTTAGTAAATGTTGATATTTTTTACGTTTTTTAATTATAACTTTACATAAATTTTAAACTGCCATTTGATAATTTAAAGCAAACGCATTCTTTGGGACCAATATCATAATCTCCGTTATCCTCCCGGTTATTTTCCTCGAGACAACCTCCGCATGAAGAATGATCCGCTCGATTGGTAAGTATATTACAGAAAGTAACACGGTGATCGACGGGTTTCAGAAATGGTTCGTAAATGAACGTGTTTTGTATTATTCCGACTGTAGGTTTTCTTACGAATATAATTTGTTAAATTAATAATAAATCCGATCTGTAAATTTTCAGGAACGGTGATCACATTCACACAAATTTTAAAGAAATGTATCAACATTTACGCAATAACGGCTATTACATCGAAGTACTTGGTAAGACATTTTTATTTTACCAAATATAATATTAAAACATTATTTGATTTAAATTTATATTAAAATAAATTTAAATATATAAAAAATAATAATTTTAAAATAAGTTTTAACTCAGTTTTATGTATTTTTATATTTTTAAGGTTCTCCATTTACGTGTTTCGATGCTAATCAGTATGGTAAGTTTAATTCGGATATTTGAATAAGAAACCGAATTATTAAATCAAATTAAAATATAGTTTAAACATTGGAGAGCATTCCATTTCCTCTGTAATCAAAGTTAACCTTATTAGCATTTTACATTTATTAATACTATATGACAAATATTATCTTCATACTTTATAAAAAATATGTAGATATTCTGAATTTTGTGTGTCTTAATAAATACATACATGGAGATTAAATTTATGAGAAGAGACGTCATTATCAAAAAATATCATGGTTCGACTAGTTTCTATATTTTAAAAGTGTAATGAACAGTCGTTAACATGTATCTAATGGAACAGGTGGCCAATTTGTCAAAAAATAATATATGAAATAATAAAGCATTTAAACTTGTATAGAAAAATGTATTTATATATACATAAGCATCTCAATGCCTGATACTTTTATAATAAGCTAAATGATTGCCGGATTAATTGGGCCAGTTTACTACTACTATGGTACTTTGATGCCATCTCTAATACCAAATGTGTTTAAGTACTTTTTTATACATTTTCTGATATACCGTATTTACTTGCATATAAGACGAGGTTTTTATTCATTTTTCACTGCTTCAAAAACCTATGTTGTCCTATACGTGTGAACGAAGGATTCTTTGTGTTTTTGCAATAATTTCTGTGAACCGTGTATACTTCATGCTGCCATTATAGGTCTACAGTCTATTTATCATAAGTTTGCACTTACTGTAAACAAATTAAGACATGCACCCTTTTGTTTATTGGTTTAATCCTACATCCATCAATTAAAAACCACGTTGCATCTCATTCGTTCGCAAAAAATAGTTTCTCGTTATTTGTAAAAACATTAATGAAATACAGGTCACTTAGCAATGATCATAAATATAGTTATTTTAGATTAGTTAAATTGTTATTTTTAACGATTATTAGCACATTCTGAATCTTTAAAAGTAAACTTTTTCCGGTCACGTGCAATAAAATGTTTTGGTTTTGTTTTCCATTCATCACGTAATTCACGTTCATCAAACATAATTTTATGGTCATAGCACGGTAAGTGTTAAGGCAAACTTGATTGCTTGCCTTAATACGTTCATTTGATAGTATTTTGTGATTAAACGAAATAAAATTAGAACTATATTAATAAATCTAATTTTCTTTAATTTGATCTCTAAAGTCACATCTCATCCTATATGTGAGATCATCTTATACCCAAGTAAATACGGTAAATGTCTGCTATTTAGATGTTATTAAAGAAAAAAAATCTCTCCCCTAAATCATTATAGAATGAATTTAGCAGAAAACATTTAAAATTAAAAAAAATCAATGGTAAATATGGTAAATAGTTCAGCTAATTTACTAATTTATTTGCTTACACATTTTTATTTTACTTTTAGTCAAAACTTATGCCTCACATTTGGCTACAGTTGAGTTTAATAAATTTTCCAATCTTACATACACTAAATTCTACTTTTATTGTAATTGTAAATGTAAAAGAGAAAACAAAGCAAACAAAAACTTAACACCGATAAGTAATATTCTGTACTTCTTTTCAAAATACTGTATTTAACTTTCTGTATATAAATGTTCCTTAACAAAACATATTAAAATTAAGTTCAGCCCCAAAAAAAAAGCTTTAACAGATCTGGCTGTGATTCGGCCAAAAGATCGGTTGTGGTATTTATAGTAAGTTTCTGGAAGAAGGTTCTGATTTGTTGTTATCTCATTTAGTTTTCATAAAATAAAATAACAGAGAATTTATTTACTCAAGTACCCACATGTCCATAACTTAAGGATGAACTGGCATTTTTACGCGAGTAGAGAGAACTGTAGACAAATGCGGCGAGAACTGCGTTACTCGACATATAACACAGGTTAATATACAACAATTTGTAGGGTTTTACAAATTAAAGCAATAAAAAGTAACGTAGGTGGATCGCAACTATTTACCAATACCTGGGCAGAGATCTGTCCACCTCGGACTATAATCCAGCACTTGCGACGTCATGGCAGGCTTGTCACCAAATAATTCGGGCATTGTTTTTCTAGTCGTCGCCACTAGAAATTGTGTTTGTCCTTATGTTTTAGACACTTGTACACAAGCCAAAGATTATGCAATTTAACAAATAATAATAAAAAATTTTTTTAATTCTTTAAAAAGTGTAAATATTTTATTTCTTAACTATATTTAATTTATATTTTTAGGAGTCTTGCTTATTGTCGATAGCGAAGAAGAATATTTTCCGGAAGAAGTAGCAAAGTTAAAGAGAGATATTGATTCTGGTTTGTCATTGATAGTATTTGCTGATTGGTACAATGTTTCAGTCATGAGAAAAGTGAAGTTTTATGATGAAAACACTAGGTTAGTTTTCTTTAAGATTTTCAAACATTATATTATGTTAGAGGAAATAATTTCTGATATAATTAGAGCTTGGATTAATTAATTGTAAATCTAAATGATTGGATTTTTGGTCTATATTTATATCAGTAATATAGTATATATTTTTTTTAGGCAATGGTGGATGCCAGACACTGGTGGTGCTAATATACCAGCATTAAATGATTTATTGGCTCCTTGGGGAATGGCTTTTGGGTAAGATTCTAATTTTTCAACTGAATATATATCTTTGAATGTATTGAAATTCAATTATTTACTTTGCGCATTTGCTTTGAAGAAGAACCATATGGTCACTGATGAGTCAACATAAAATTTTCCTTATTCAAGTTTTATTCATAACTCACAATAAGATATGTATTTACAAACAAAAACTGTTAAACTAAATTAAGTATAACCACTCATTTATTTTTATGTGTTGAAATTGACTCTTTAATTTCCAGCTTCTTGTTTTTTCTTAATTCTTCATATGTTCAGAATATAACTATGTCATTTGCTATTAGTTTAAATGGCAAAATATTTTTATATTATAGAAATTTAATGTACAAACAACTTGTTTAGAATGCAACCTTGCATAATTTAAAACGCGTCATACGTACGTCTATATGTACTAGGTTATAACCTTGTGTATATTTTTAACCAAGCATGCAAGTTATAATTAATAAAGTTAAAATAATTCTGAAGTAAAAATGAAATTTGTTAGTAGCATCTAGATTGCTAATATTTAATGTGAAAAACTTTATCTAGTTGATTTTTTTGTATGTTTTAATAGAGATGAAGTTTACGAAGGTGATTTCACTTTAGGAAATCACGAAAGTACGTACCATTACAATGTATATTTTATAATTCGAAGAAAAGTTACTAAATGTATTGACTAAAATATTTAAATATTTCAGTGTATTATGCTTCAGGAACATCAATTGCCAGGTTTCCTGAAAATGGATTAGTCATAAAGAGAAGTCTGAACAATCAAGGTTTGTTGGATTTTCATTCTAATATGTTATGATACATTTATTCATATTTATAATACAATCAAATCTCATTAATACAAAGTTAAAGGGACTTAAAAATTGGCAATTTGTTACTATAACAACTTTACTATAAGAGAAAGTGTAATTTTTGAATTTCAAGTGAACGTCATTGGTATAGCATATCACCTGCATTGTGGCAACTGCGATAACATTGATGTAAGCATTATGGTCAATACTAAACTCAAAAAACACACCCCTGGTTCATGTAACTTTGAAGAAGATGTAAAGAGTATACTTTGCATTAAATGACACAATATAATTGCTGAATTCATGAAAGCACGACATTCTTATTACATAATAACCAATATTTTGTGTTAACAGAACTCTTTTTATCACTGGAATGCCTATTCTTATCATGGGACTACAAATCTACTTTGCATTAACTAACACAGACTCTGCATAAACTGATATATAATAACAGAGTTTGACTGAATTTATTGTGAAGTGTTGTTGTTATTTTAAAAGATTTTCAATTACCTTAACACCTGAATAAGGGTTGTTACGGAAAGATCTGGCAACACCAGAGAGAGAGCGGCACGTGCAAGATGGACCGTCCTGTTTAATGTATGCGACTGGAGATCGTCCGGTCCAAGTAGAACCCTGAATAAAGTATTCAGAGTAAGTGTTTGTATTCCTGTCTTACTGGGGGTCTTAAGTGCGTCATGAACGGCGTGTAAACACATAGTAAACCATATAAAACATGTTGGCAGCGGATAATTAAGCCAGTAAAGGCAACGAGGCTTAATGAACACGCGCCAGCTCAACAAGTAATTAGAAACTTCGTTTAAAGGTTGACGCTGTGGCAGACAGACAGTCTCCTTTGTATATCAAAATAACGATTACTTTAAAGTGACAGGAAAAAAATATATAATTAAAAAGCGAGATGAATAGTTTAACTCCTCCGGAACCATTTTCTATGGACACGTCGAATCCAGAAAATTGGAGTTTATGGAAGCAACGATTTGATATTTATGCAACGGCTATAGACTTACCTGCAAAAAGTATTCCACAGCAGAGAGCCA